ACGTCAGTGTTAGGATTTTGAATTTGATCCGTTGCGCAATCGGAAGCCAGTGGAGGGATTGGCAGAGGGGGGTGGCGGAAATGGAGCGGTTGGAAAGGTGAATGAGTCTGGCAGCCGTATTCAGGATCGACTGAAGTGGGGATAGCCAGCGGCGAGGCAGGCCAGTAAGGAGGCATAATCAGACTGCTAGGGAGGTTAAAGTGAAAGTCATATGGCTCAATCTTTTTCGAAGCAATATACACTCACCGGCCACTTTTATTAGTGGCTTGGTACAGGGCGGACTGACAACTCATGGGGCCCACTGGCAACAGAGGGTCATGGGGCGCCTGTGTCCTTGCCCATACCCAAAAAAGCCTATGAAAAAGCCAATGAAAGGTACCAGGGGCATCTCATGGGGTCCCCTACTGACCCTGGGCCCTCGGGCAGTGCCCGAGTGCTCGAATGGTCAGTCCGCCCCTGTACAGAAGTAGAAGAAGAAAACCACCTGGACAAAGTGGTGATCTCACTGGTGACCCAGGGTCATTCTCTGAAGTCTCCACAGATGTTGTGAATAGAAAAGAAGAGGGATTTGCCTGGAACCTCTGGGCGGCTGGGGATGCCCAGTGTTAGAAGATCTGGAAGACATCTAGAGTGTGAAGTCTGAGAAATGTTTATAATAAAGAACCATTTGACAGAAAGGGCCTAATTAAGGGGGGAAGTTATGGCCAGGGCCAGGTCTGATAGCCTGAAGGTTTAACTCCATACAGGAATCACATGCTGTTCTCCAATGCGTCTGTCTGACTCATACACAGTGTGTTACTGAGTAACACAAACACACTCCCCCAGCTGTGTGACAAGAGGTTCCCTAAATGTATCATAGATGACTGGGGATTCCTGAATGTACACACACATATACATATATACACACCCTCCGTGCAGCTGGTTGCCATGGCAGTGGCTCAAAATACGGCAAAATACTTCCTGGCCAAACAGGGACACAGAGGGAGGAACACAGCAATAAGACTGAAGATGATAATAGCAACTACTGATCACTCTGGAACATAGCAACAAGAAACCGATCCGACATCAAATCCTCGGCTTGGTTTTCAGAATGCAGAGAAATAACACATAGAGCGTTTACCTCACTTCGTACTTCGTATATGAAGTTCTTTATCTGTCATGGCAGACAGGAAGCTAAGAATGGTTTCTGTTTCCTCCCTCACACTGTGCGATTTTCGGTATGTTCTTTGCCAACATCCACATGAAACAGATGTGCTGTAGTGGCTATGTGATCAGGCTTGGTGCACAGCAGCACAATGAGAAAGAAAAAGGTGATGTTGTACCATGCTGTATATCCAGCAATATAAAGCCTGATTTCTGATAAAACTTGGTCTGTGGAATTTGGTGTAAAATGGCAGTAATGGGTTACATAGTTAGTCTGGCTGAAAAAAGACAAACGTCCATCTAGTTCAACCATTAAAAAAAAAAATTAAAAAAATAAAACAATCCTACACCCACAGTTAATCCAGAGGAAGGCAAAAAACCCAGTGAAGCATGATCCAATTTTCTCCTGCAGGGAAAAAAATTCCTTCCTCATCCCCTGAGAGGCAATCAGATATTCTCTGGATCAACTGTACCTATAAATGTTAGTATCCAGTTATATTCTGTGTATCTAAGAAACAATCCAGGCCTTTTTTAAAGCAGTCCACTGAGCTGGCCAAAACCAACTCTTGAGGGACTCTATTCCACATTTTCACAGCTCTCACTGTGAAGAAACCTTTCCATGTTTAGAGATTACATTTCTTTTCTTCCAGACGTAAAGAGTGCCCCCTTGTCCTCTGTGGCGACCTGTGGGTGAATAGCTCTTCACTATATGAACCACTGATGTATTTATACATGTTGATCATATCCCCCCCCCCCCCGATTTATGGTTGACTGACCTCCCGCATGCCCTTTTTATGGTGGACCACAAAGCTCCGTGGGTACACAGCACAGCTTAATGTAACCCTCTCACCAGATCAATAGAAAAATAAACTACAAACACTCTGCAAAGCTTGCAAATAATAGAACAGTGCTGACCTACTCTAAAATAGGGACTAAAAAATGTGCAATCCGATCAATACCCTCCCTATGACTCTGTAATCTACCCCAAATATAAAGTGCAAAGTGCACTACAATTATCTCCACTATTCAATATTGTGCAAAACAAAACCTTAACACCATTTACTAACCCCCATTCTACCATATATAAATGAAAGTGCAATTACAATAAAAGTGCTGCATAACATATGCAGTACATATATGCCAAAATATCGATGTCATATAACATCTCTTTACATTGTGCAAATAAAGTGCAAATAGTGTCCAAATAAAGTGCAAAATAATCTGGAATTCTATAATGTCCGTCTCATATATTAGACAGTCCACCCCTACAAAATAAACTTCTTGGAGCTTCTTCACACCACCAAACTGTGCTGTTCCACCACCAAATTAATTGAATGAACTCACCAGAGCGATATGCTGGTCAGATCATAAACCAGCTGAAACGCATGTTGCTCTGAAGGTAACGCTCTGCAGTACCGTGCTCCTGTTATCTCATACTTCTCCGCATAATAATATCTCTCATTCACACAAGAGGAAATAAAGAAGAGGGGAGCTTCCATGGCATAAAACTATCAACTACTTTATTTGCTTCCACTCGCAGAGGACATCAAGGGATGAAACGCGTAGTGCGGGGCTTTGGAGGTGACATCACCACGTACGGAGGTTGGCCTCGTGGTCTTGGCTGGAGACAACCCAATACATGGCTCTGCTTTTATACTTGTGTCAGTGACAACACTTTCAAATGTGAGTTTTTCTACATGCTTTTATTTAATAAAGTAGTTGATGGTTTTATGTTAGGGAAGCTTCCCTCTTCTTTCTTTCCTCTTGAGTGAATGAGGCAGGGATAACTGAGCGATCAGCAGTATTTTATCGCTCAGAGCTCAGGTCTCAGTCATAGACAGATACAGCATCGGAGCGATGCTGCATCCACCTAGCTAAGTATGATTTCTAAAAAAAAAAAACAACAAAAAACCCAAACTTCTCTTTTAAATTCAAATTGAATGTTTAAATATAAGAAATTAAAACACATATCGCTCAGTTATAGAACTCAAGTGAAAATAATCAAGAATTAATCATAAACCAAAAATCCCCATTTGATCCAAGAGTGACATACCACATAAGGTGCCTGCAATGAGGGTGGGAAGAAGGGGACCTCACCGAGCCGATGTTGGCCAACTATGGATAAGCCTGAGACAGAACCCCTTTATATAGGAGCTGTGGAAAGTTCTAGAAGAGGCATGCGGAACTTCAATCTTCCTGCCATAATTCACGAGGCAGTTGAGCTGGACTCTTAAAGGGCCAGTACCACAAAATTGTTTTCCTTTTTTTATATATTGTAGAGGTGGCAGCTGTTGTTCTATGTGTGTGGGACCTAATTTGTGTCCCATTAGCCATTCTTTGTTAATTCTCAATTCTGTGCGGATACAAGACCCCATTCATTTGAATGGACTCCTGTGCCCCGAGGCACGCAGGGAAGAAGTCCCTGCACTACCTGGGAAATCGCAGTCCGCACGGGAACTGATGTCCCCAGTACAGTTGCGAATTACAGCACGTGCGGCGTGCCATTAGAATTAATAGCAAACGCCAGCGGGTCCCACATTCCTCTGTGTGGGTGGTGCAGCTGCAGGTATTTGTGCGGGTCCCGCAGTGGCACCACCCGCACGGATGTGAACCAATCCTTCGTGCAAATACAAAAAGTATCATGGACAGTACTGAATTGTTTCTGAAATGGAATGATAAAATCTCTGGATAATTTGGTCTGATGTCGTCCAAGTTCTGTATGACCGGTCAATGGTCTTTAGCCTCTACAAGCAAGAATGTGTAGCATGTTCGGGATGCCAATTGTACCTCAAAGAACACATTACCAATTATAAAGCTTCATGTAGCTAATATTAGTCATGCATTCATACACGGCGGTACAATGTAACATGTTCACTTCATTTCTTAGAAATGCGTGGAAAAACTTTGCTAAGCACATAACATAAACTGATACGATGACGGATAAACAACTCTTGCTGTAAAAATAATAATTATTCTGGAGTCCGCTTGTCAGCAAGAAGATCTGCTGAGAGGTATAAAGTGCAGATACCTGGAAGTGCCCACACATAGTTGCCATAGATTTCAGTCCTTGTGCAAGGCCAAAATGCTGGTCTGTACAGGCAAAACTGAAAAACAAAGAATACGGTAGCTTCTACCCCTTGTGCCCCCATACATATATAATGGCCCATCACTATGATGGGCTTCGTCGCTAAGCAATAGAGTTGAGTAGGATGCATGAATGGCATATTTTTTTTCTAAAGTGGAACTCCAGCTATAAAAATTTCTTAAAGGGTAACTCCACTTTTGTGGGGACAAAAATAACAAATAAAAAAAAATATCGTGTATACAATTTTGACGCAAGACATACTGCAACTGAATGTTAGTAAAATGACCTTTCCTTGCAGTCTGTTATTTTATATAAAATGTTATGCAATATTGCAATCTGGAGGTGTTCTGTATAGAGATGGTGTACAGAAAGTACTCCCCCCCCCCCCCCCCCCCCCGAAATGTCATTTCCTGCTTGTGTGATTGGCTTACTGATTTTCCCAGAAGTCTGCACTAAAAAAGTCAGATTTTGGGCATCCCCTGCAACAAAAATGTCATTTTTTGTGAGATACTCTCAAAGAGAAATTACATCTCAGGGGATGCAAACCCTGCCACTTTCTTCATTAGAGCCGCTGATTGATAATTATTTAATCACTTCCATGTAGATTCACTCTGCACATGGACACAGACAAACAAACAGATATTTTTCCAGAATAACAAAAGGTGGGAATCTGCAACAAAGTCTGTTGAAATCCTTGCAATATACATAGATCTCCCCGAGGGTGAATGTTTTTTTTTCTCAACAAGAGCGGAGTTACTCTTTAAAGTGGTATTAAACCCAAAACCAAAGACGTAATATATTGCAGTTACCGATAATTAGATGCGGTGGCTTCATTTGGTTTCTTTATTTAGGCTTTTTCCCCCTCTCTTTTCACCTGGTTATCTGGCCAATAGTGTAACTCCTGTACAGGGGCGGACTGACCATTTGGAAACTCGGGCACTGCCCGGGGTCAGTGGGGGGCCCCATGAGATGCCCCTGGTACCTTTTTCATAGGCTTTTTTTTGAGTTTGGGCAAGGACACAGGGCCCCATGATCCCCTATTGCCCGGGGGCCCCATGAGTTGTCAGTCCGCCCCTGCTCCTGTATTGGAGTGACTCCACTCTGGATGAAGGAGCACAGGGGCACCTTTGGACAGCAGCATTGTCAGTCTGGGGGGTTAGATGTACTAGCAGATTTAAATACATTAACAAATTAAAACCAAATACTGCAGTTACAAAAGCAGTTACAGCAACAGTTTTTTTTTTATTTTATGGGATAAAGGTGTCACATAAATAAATAGAAGCTGATCTTTGTTAGCACCCCTGTCAGTGGTAAATGGTTTGTCTCAACCTTTTAACTGCTACATTTGCAAGACAGCGTGTTCTGTTAAAAAACAACAGACTTACTGGCTGGATCGCCAGATAAAAATAAAGGAAAGAAAGCCTAATAAAAAAAAAACTAATGCAGCCATCACATCTAAGAACTGATAATTTGCGAAATAACAAAAGTTTGCTTTTGGGTTTAATACTATTTTAAATGCTAAAAAAGTTACCTCTTGTACTGTGTAATTCAGAATTTTCTCCATGCCAGGTACAGATAGTACTGTTCACAATGGTTGACAGAATATGAGGCGTTCTGTGGAAGGCCTAGGTGAGCGGGGGCAAATGAACAACAGTCGTGCTTCCATGTATGAGCGCCACAATCATTATCACTGCAGCAGGTCAGAAGTACAACCCAAGCTGTAGTATCTGACATTAAAGCACAACTACAGGCGAAAATGATATTTACACTGAAAATGGTTAGTACTTCCGCCTGACAGTAATAGCATTGTTGGTTCAAATCCCAACCACGGCACCACCTGCCTGGAGTTTGCATGTTCTCCCTGTGCCTGTGTGGGTTTCCTCCGGGTACTCTGGTTTCCTCCCACACTCCAAAGACTAAATTGGCCCTAGTGTGTTTATGTATGAATGTAAGTTAGAGACCTTAGATTGTACACCCCTTGAGGGTTAGGGACTGATATGAATGTACAATATCTCTCTCTCACTCTCTCTCTCTATATATATATGTAAAGTGCTGTGTAAATTGGTGGTGCTATATAAGTACCTGAAATAAATAAATACATTTAAAGTGAAATTAAAGCTTCATTTTTTTCTCTTAAAAAAAATGTTATACTTACCTACTTTGTGCAATGGTATTGCACAGAGCGGTCCCGATTCCCCTCTGCTGGGGTCCCCCATCGGCGCTCCTGGCTCCTACACTTCAGCAAGTGCCCACCATAGAAAGCCGATTTCTATGGGGGCACTCATGCAGGCTCGCACTCGAGCCTCCCTGTCTATGTCTATTGGCCCACCCCCAGCTCCCCCCATCACATAATTTGATTGACAGCTAGATGGTTTAGCATATATGGAAGAATCTGTTGGATTTTTTTCTTTCAGCCTGCAAGCTGATCAAAGAAATCTTTATGTGTATGGTCAGCACTACAAACTTACAGTTATAAATCAGGTTTTGTCTGTCTAAGCCACGTTACTGAGAACATTACAGATAATTAAATACATCATTAAATATTACATTTACTAGGCCCATCTGGGTATTATTTACTCAATTTATTATCCTATAATTTTCCCATTTATGTAGTATTAATGTGCCTGAAATTTTTCAGTTGCAAAGGTTTCTTTTGATTTTGTCATGTGTGTTTTAAGTATTTAATTTAGTGATTTGGGTGCAGCTTAGGCAATTATGTTATTGTGCGGTCATCTGAAAATACATAGGAGCTGTCATGTGTACATGACATTGTAAATACATGTGTAAAGTAATGTGTAAAGTAATATGTAAATTATTTCGAGTATAATTACCATGTTTGAATCGGATTATGTAATAACAGTCAGCAATATCTTAACTCCTAAGTGCAGTACATTTCAAAGGATTCCTATTACATGTGAAAATGTTTTATACAGCTGATATATAGTACACACTTAGCAGTATGGGCCAGCTTGCGCAGCCTGTGGATCAGACCACCAAACAAGATCCCAAAATAAATTTTTTATGGACACCAGAATGTTAAAGTGATATTAACGATTTTGTTTTTAATTTTCTTTTTTAATAACAAACATGTCATACTTACCTGCTCTGTGCAATGGTTTTGTACAGAACAGCCCTGATCCTCCTCTTCTTGGGTCCCCTGCTGGCACTCCTGGCCCCTGACTAGTGCCCCCAGAGCGAGCAGCTTACTATGGGGGCACCCAAGCAGGCTCACTACCACATGACCATTCATACACAGAGCGTGGCTCGCCCAGCCCCCACTCTCTCCTCATTGACTCACTGGCTCTGATTGACAGTAACAGGAGCCAATGGCTACCACTGCTGTTTCAGCCAATGAGGGAGAGACTTGGGATAGCCAAGGCACATCGCTGGATTGCGATGAGGCTCAGGTAGGTATTAGGGGGGCTCTGCTGTACACAGAAGGTTTTTTACCTTTATGCATAGAATGCATGAAGGTAAAAATCCTTGAGCCTTTACAACCACTTTCATTTTCTTTTGAAGGTGGTTCCAAACCAGGGGCAGACTGACCATTCAAGCACTCGGGCACTGCCCGAGGGCCTGGGGTCAGTAGGGGTCCCCATGAAATGCCCCTGGTACCTTTTTATAGGCTTTTTTTGAGTGTGGGCAAGGACACAGGGGCCCCATGATCCCCTATTGCCCGGGGGCCCCATGAGTTGTCAGTCCGCCCCGTTCCAAACCTATATTTAAAAAGACATTTAATTGTTTATTAATGAAATCCTTAGTGCAATAATGTGTGTCTTTTATAGTGGGCTGCCATTCCAGTGGAAACATGTCAAGAAATAGGTGGTGAAGGAAAGCTTTGGAAGCCCCCAAGCTGGCATCTTTGAAAGGGAACCTTGGTTCGTGCTTGTTGTGTTGGGGATGTGAGTTCTGGCCAAGCCCTGTCTGTGCTTCTCTGGCATAATGCTGCAGAAGCTCAAGCTTGCCACAACTCTTCCTCGTGCCCGCGCGTAGCCTGGCATCTCCAGCGTGGCTAGGGCCTCAGCTCTCCCTCCCTACACTGTGTGTGAAGTGGCAGGAGCCCGGAAGAGGGGACAGCGCCGTGTGTGTTGGAAGCCAGGCGGTGTTCACAAGGTTTTATTCTAGCTGTCAGGCTTTGCAGCAGCTAACCTACTAGCACTACCTCCATAAATTCAGAACAAGTATAATTTTTATGAAAGTCATAAGTTGGACTAGGATAAAGCTGCATGAGAGGAGCGGCAGAGCCATTGCTGACAGCAGGGGAAGCAGTGAGGGAACATCAGACCAGACCATACTCACCTTTAAAGGGGCCTCCAGTTGATCTACTGAGAGTGTAATCTCTAAATGTGCTATTTGATTGCGCATCTGGTGAGTGCGTAGTCTTTACATTATTGCACACATCACCATATTACCGGAAAGCTCACCAGCAATTGAAGATCAATATTAGATCTTCCATACACCCATCTTTGGACATTTGAATTACCTTTCCAGCACTATATCAAGCACTATTGGTCACTATATAGTGACAGAAATATATGTTGCCACTAAGTCACTTTATTTTGTTGAAATATTAGCACCTTATCACTGGTCACTTTATTGAATGTTCTCATATATATTTATTTATTACATACGTGGTTATTTTCATATTTTGACACTTGGCAATTTTAATGTTTTTAGCGCTGCACCCATTTTATATTGTGGCATCTTTGAAAGCATGGGTTCTCCCATATTTCTAGTCCTACAGGTTCACATTTACAAAGAAAATCGTTCTAGTTTTGTTCAGTAATTTACTAAAAAAATATAATTCTGCAGGTATAGTTTTTGAGATAAGGGGATTAATTTAAAAATGCTTTACTGCATGTCTTATGTGATTTAGGGCTCGTGCGCTAGGGTAGTTTAGCTCGTACAGTGTAAAAACCTGGCATTTTTCCTATATTCATGGCATACGCCTCTGTAAGATGCATCTCTAAACAAGAGTACTACTCGAAATAGTGTCCATCAGCATACAGCTGTCATGTGTTTCAGTCTATCATTGATTTTTAGAAGCTAATGGAAGCGGGAAGTATGATGCACCTTTGCCTCCCTCCTGCCAAAAATGCCAGGTTTTTATGCTGTATTAATCAAAATGTCCATGTGCATGAACCCTTACCATGTGTTCATTTCATGTCCTGTAAATAAATATCGCATTGGCACAAAAATAAATATATGTTATCCACGTCAATGCAGTAATCTTAGTAGATTTGTTTTTATCTTTACTGTTTTACAATGTTCTTATGCTCAATACCAAAAAATATGTGTAAAAATCAATTCAGAAAGATTACAACTTATCACTCCTTAATGCCACGTACACACTATAAGAATACTGTACGAAAATTTTCATACGAGGACCGATGGTCCGATAATCGGATCGTTAGTACACAGCTTTCAAGAGCCAATCACGACAATTTGTGCAACAATATCCGAAGGGACAAGCGCAAAATATTTTCTCGTACGATACCAGATCGTACGTTTTTCGTTTAATCAGTACAGTATTCGTCTGAAAATACAATAAAAATACAATACAATACATGACATCACTTTCGAAATTCTTTTCTTTCATAGGAGAATTTTCGTATCTGTAATAACCTTTTCACTTTTGATGTGAGACTAGCAGGCTAAAAAAACGGGCGATTGTTCATCTGATATTCTCATCGTGTATATGGGGCTTTAGATTATCGCTAGATTCTGCTTGGAGATTATTATGAGAGGTCTATAGAGAAAAGCTGAAAAAAGATCTATGTGAAGTGGAAGTAAAATATAGATTGGCAGGTGACTACATCACCTCATAGGATCTACTTGGCTTGTAGTGTAATGTAACAAAAATGGGAATTTTTTTGTTACATTACAGAGGGTCAGTTCAAAGAGTGTCCAATATGTTTTGAGAG